TGGCAATGAGATATTCTTTCCTATACAAAATTTTCACAAAAATCCATTAAAATCCATAGACTTTGAAAGTGTATAGATTATTGAATATCTCAAGATTTTAAAAGAATTTTAAAAGTTTATATTGAATACCTCAGGATTTTAAAAGACTTTTAAAAGTTTAGATTGAATACCTCTAGATTTTAAAAGACTTTTAAAAGTTTTGATTGAATACACCCAGATTTTGAAAGTCCAACAAAATTTATATTGAATACACCCCCCTTAGAGTCGGACAGAAGGAGTATTATTTTTCTATCATACTCCCTTTGTCCAGCTAATTTGTCCACCTTAAATGGACACAAAGTCTTAGATATTATGTAATTACTGAATAGTTAAAAAGTGTATTAGTATAAATAATTATGATATAATAAAAATAACTATAGATTAAAATTAATATGAGTAAATAGTTTAATTAAAATAAAAAAAATATAAATTATAAAATTTTAAAATTGGATTAAAATGTATAATTATATTTCCGAAAAAGACAAATTATATGAGACAAATAAAAATAGAAAGAGTAAATAAATTATATAGGAAGGAGGGGAGTAGTATTTAGTGATATAGATAAATAATAATATCATGAGTTTAATTTTTTCAGTATTTCAAATTAAAATGAATGTTATTTAATTTCAGAATTTTTTAATCATTGTTATTTATTTTATATATTTTTATTAAAAATAGATATGAGTTATATATGTATACATTATAAGCTCATAAAATATATTTTTATACACAATAATTTTTTAAATAATTATATTTAATTTAAAATATAATTATTTTATTATATAATAATTAAAAACAAAATATATATTGAATAAATACATAATTACTTTAATAAAAATTAAAATATATTAAGAAAGAATTATTTTCTTTTCTCTTTCCGACCATTCTTTATGCGGCTTCCCGTCCCCCAAATCTGAGGCTATGTTTGGTTCAAATGAGTGGAGGCGAAGGGAAGGGAGGGGAGAGATTTTAATGGAATGGAAGGGAGGCGAAGGGAGGAGGTAAAATATTAAAATCGTAATAATGTGTTTGGTTCGTATAGAAATGAATGGAGGGGAGGTGAGGGAGAATATTATTTTTTTGTTTAGTTAAACAGGGTAGAGAATGAATAATATAATAATTTTACTGTTTTGTTCTATGTTGTATAAATAAAGAAGAATAAAAATATTTAATAAAATTTTATTAATTTATTAAATAAACATCAATTTTGATATAAGAATAATAGATAGTGTGACTTAATTTGTTTTAAAATAAGCATATATATACTTATATCACGCAAATAAAACATAAATAAAAATAAAATTATATGTAAGAAAATTGAATTATTTAATAACAAAATAATTATTCTAACATAAATTTTATTTATTTAGAATAAATTATAAGATAAATATCATTTATAGTATTAAATAAATAAAATAGATATAAATTTATTTTATTAATTAAAACTTGAACCTCAAGGGTTTAATTAAATGATTAAAGTAAAATTAATTTATATAAATTTTTATTTTATAATTTAATTACATTATATATTTTAAAAATATTATAACTAATTTTTAACTATAAGATAACTATAATATAATTTATGAATAACTAGATACAGATAAAAGTAATATATAGTATTAAGAATATAATAGTACTTTAATAAATTGAAAAGACAAATATTTTTTTCTCTCTTCCAAATTTTCCCAATTTGAAGGAAACAAAATAAGTTTATTTTTTATTTTTTCCCTTCCCTTCCATTTTTCTCCTCTTTAAAATAATAAAAAAAAAAATTGAACCAAACGAGGTAATTGTAATTTTTCTCATTTCATCTCATCTCATCCCCTCCCATCCCATCCCTTCCAAATTCCTCAAACCAAACATACCCTAAATGTCTATCAATTAAAATTGTACCAAGAAAAGCCAAGTCAATATGTTACTTGATATGATGTCTTTTGCGCTAAAATAACTTTTATAAAATAGTATTAATTCGGTCAATGTGGGGTACAATTTTACCAAACACATAGTGGGACTCTAGTTGGACGAGGGCTACAAATTCGATAATTTTACCATAGCCATTGCGAACAAGGATAAGAACAAGTTGGCTGAAGTAGAACTCTAATGATGAGTATAATTATAAGGAAGGACATTGGCAGAGAACTACGTGGGGCGAGGGTGGGCTTCAGTCAACTTTAAAAAATCTCGATTGTGAAAGAGCCGAGGGTGTGTAGTCCAAACAGTTAAGTCCTCTCTTGGCATACTTGAAGTTAGAGGTTCAATTTTCGTCCAATGCATGAGTATGTGCAGATTAAAGAAAAAAACAAACAGATATCAACCATTTGACATAAAGGCAAGTCGGAATCTTTGATGACTTTGTTAAGAGTTAAATTTGGTAAAATTGCTTATAACTTCCATGTGGTTTCAAAATTCAGCGTACAATCTCCTTGTACTTTAAAAATTGTATGGTACCCCTTTATACTTTAAAAAGCGTTGTATGAAACCCTACCACCATGAAACTTTCCTTGTGTAATAAGAAGATGATTTCCTATCTATATGTTTTGCATGGCAGGGGGTTTTATGCAATATTCTTTAAAGTATAAGTGAGTGTTATGCAATTTTTTAAAGTAAAATGGGGATTTATGCTAAGTTTCGAAATCACAAAGTGGTTTCATGCAACATTTTTTAAAGTATAAGGGGACGTCACGGAATTTTTAAAGTAGAGGGGGGATTTACGCTGAGTTTCAAAACCACAAAGGAGTTATGGGCAATTTTGCTATTTAAATTTTCTTCAAATGATAAATTATACCATTTATCAATTTCAACAATACTTCAATACTTACTGATTTATTATATAAAAATGAATATATGTAGTATGTAGTTTTTGTTATTGTAATTTATTATTTTACAATATTTTATAATATAACAATTCGGTTATACAATTGTCAACAACAAATAGATGCCAATCCTTTAGTAAGTATAAATAAATTGTACTATTATTTTAAAAATTGAAAAAATTACCCACCCACCTTTTTATTTAATCTTGTGCGTAAAATGTATTGATTTCAAATTATCAGTACTCAGTTCCCCAGGAAGCTATTGAGTAGTGTGACATTTTTCATTACACCTAGTTCAGTGAAAAGTATCAAAAGATAACTTTAGGAATGAGTTGAAAGCTATCCACAAATCATAACAATCTACTGCATCGAATTTCATTAGAACTTCAAAACTAAATGTTTAGACAAAAGTAATACCAAGACTGATAATCTCTTGAGAAAATCTTCGTATTGTACTTTTAAAAAAAATAGTTACAGATACATAATAATAATAATAATAATAATAATAATAATAATTTAAATTTTAAACTCAAAAGGACCACTGTTTAGTATCTAGCATTTTCAATAAAAGGTAAAATTGTTTATAACTCCCTTGTGGTTTCGAAATTCAGCGTAAAATGTCCCTGTACTTTAAAAATTGCATGGTACCCCCTTATACTTTAAAAAACGTTATATAAAACCCCATCACCATGAAACTTTCCTCGTGTGATAAGAAGATGATTTCCTATCTATATATTTTGCATGGCAGAGGGGGTTTTATACAATATTTTTTAAAGTATAAGTGAGCGTCATGCAATTTTTTAAAATAAAATGGGAATTTATGCTGAGTTTCGAAACCACAAAGTGGTTTCAGGCAATATTTTTTAAAGTATAAGGGGACGTCATGCAATTTTTAAAGTAGATGGGGAATTTACGCTGAGTTTCGAAACCACAAGGGAGTTATGGGCAATTTTGCCTTAATAAAAATACTCCCCCCATCCCATAACAAAGTATTTATTTTTCCATTTTAATCCGTTTCATAACAAAGTATTCATTTTTTTTTTTTGGTAACTGTACTATCTACCTAGCATTACAAATACCCTTACAACTTACGATATATTATACAAATGCCATTACTTTTATATCACACATACTAATAAGGTTATTTTAATCATTTTTACTTTATTTCTACTATATCTCAATATAATACTAATATTTCTAAAACTACGTACAAAAAGCACGTAGATACTTACTTCTGCGATGGAGAGAGTATTTTATTTTATAAAATATTATATTAAAATACTATTTAAATTAAATTTTAATTTCAAACAAAAACTAAATAAACCCGAGAATTTTGTACTTATTTATCTAAATTATAGGTGTATATTGGGGATTTAGATTTTGATTTGGAATTTGAATACTAAAAATTTCGAATTTAATAATTAGATAATATAATATAAATATGTATTGAGGTAATATTTTGAATATAAAATTAAATTTTAGTATAATATAAAAAATAAAAATAGATATTTTGATTTGATATTTTTAAAAAAATTCTTTTTAATAAATAATAAAAATTTGATAAACGAAAACACAGTGTTGTAAATTACTCTTCTACAACCTTGTATCAATCATCAAAGTTCTTTATATTCTAACTTCTAAGGGCTGCTATTTTTTATGTTTTATTCTGTGCGGCTGAAATGGACAGCTTCAGCACGTTGACTGTGCCGCAAAATATGTAAATATTTTTAAAGCCAATATGCACATTCTTGTTAATAGACCCGAAATGTTACTTACATAAATTGTAATTTTGACTTTCCAAAACGTAGAAATATTATTATTACTACTGTCAAGTCACGACCCTTTTCTAGTACAAACTTTAAACATTTCTATAATAACCAGAAGTAACATTTTAAGGTTTGACCCAACTCCAAAAGCAAAATCAGCAATCGAGCGATATGAACGGTTTGGATTTATCGGGAGTCCAGGTCCGGGAGTTCGAATAGAAATAAAATCATCCTCATAGGCCCGTTCAAAATTCTGACCGTTGGCTGCATTACAGCGTGTGCAGTAACGGTTTTCCGATCGTCTTCAAAAATGGAGTTTCTTATTTAATTCTACGTAGATCAACGCAGGAAAGCTCATTAGTTTCCGAGAATCGATTATCAAATGGGCTGCGCATCATCGAAACCTGCTTCTCGTGAATTCAAGATCCCAAGACCCGACGAAAATGGAGATTGCAGCAGCACTGATAGTCACGTCGTGCACCTCACTTCAACCACCTATGGCGCTCTCGAGCTCGGAAGCCATGAAATTCAGAAGCCTGAGTTGGAAGTGACAACCACACCAGAAGGATTTCCCGAGATCATCGATGCGAGGGAGCTTATGCAAGGAATTGAATCGGAATTGAAATTGGAATCGGAATCGGAATCGGAATTGCCTGGTGCAATCCACTTCGGAAAACACCCAAAATCTAGGGTTTCGTCGAGGAAGAAAATTGGGGGAAAGGAGAACAGAGGAATAGCAGCAATCCAAATCAGGTCGCCGTCATCGGAGAAAGGGCTCAGAGTCAGACCAGCCCTGAAAGAAGTCAGCAACACGTTCCCGGAGAACACAGTGAAGAAGCCATGCCCATGGCCATCGGTAGAAACGAAAAGACGAAAATGCCCATGCCCTCCGGACGCGGTGGTGCTGTACACGACGACGCTACGGGGAATCCGGAAGACGTTCGACGAGTGCAACGTGGTCCGATCGATTCTGGAGTGGCAGGGCGTGCGGACGATCGAAAGGGACATATCGATGGACTCTGGATTCCGGGAGGAATTGAGGGGCCTGATGGAGGACGAGGCGAGGGTGCCGGCGGTGTTCGTGAAAGGGAGGCTGATCGGAGGGGCGGAGGAGATGCTGAGGCTGGAGGAGGAGGGGCGACTGGGGAGCCTGCTGGACGGTGTGCCCAAGGCGGCGGCGGCGGCGGCGTGCGGGGGTTGCGGCGGGGCGCGGTTTGTGGTGTGCGGGCAGTGCTATGGGAGCTGTAGGGTTTGGTCAAACGGGAAATGCGCCAAGTGTAATGAGAACGGCTTGATTGTTTGTCCCTTGTGCACTTTCTTGTGTACTTAATCTTAGTTAACATCCTCACTCTTGATTTTTTTGTTTCTTTATTCTTTTTAATTCTTTGAAGACGCTATGATAAACTAAAGTGTAGCATATGAGATTTAAAGGTGTTTGATGCTTGAACTTGTGATTTTAACTATCATCAATATAATAATAAGATATTTTTATTATATTTTTAATACATAGCATATTAGAATTCAAGCTAGCATAAAGATAGATATATATATATATATATATATAAAATAAATTTGAGCCGAGTTGATTTTAATTTGAATAATAACTTACGGCGTGTTTGTTTATTGTTTTTTACAACATATACTCTCAATATATGTTCATTATTTTTCTTTTCAAAAGTTTTTAAAATTGAAAGTTTTGGTTTGTTTGGGTTGACGTGGATTTTCGACATTAAAAAGTAAAATTCGATAATATATTATGAACTTAAAGTAAAAAGTGTCAGAGATCACATATTCCTAAAATACAGCACGTAAAGAACTATGATGCACTAAGAACTAAAAAATTCAAAGTGAATGATTCCCGATAAGACTTTTCGTGAGATTATTGAAGATTCTTTTTTCACCCTCTATTAATATGTTAAATACAATCCTTTCTTTAACCGTCCAAAAACCATCTCTGAGTCGGTTACTCAGGGTCGTGCATCAACCGTCGTCGTTATCCTGTTCACACGAACATCGATTGTGACATGGATGTCCGAACGTCAAGATTCACAATTCCAAAGCCTCCCATCAAACCAGCTTCAAGAACCCGAGAGAAAGCCCGCATTGACAAATTACAAGGTTTGATGATGAAGTTTGCAAGTTGAGGAGAAATTAAAGCCCATGTTGCAATAGCCGAAGACTTATCGATGGATGACGATATTGGAGCTTGCAACGCCTCAATCGGATAACTAACGGAAAAGTTGTGCAAACCTAGGAGTTTGTTAAAATAGAGGGTTTAATATGTAATTATATAAACCTAGGTTGCACATGCTCAAGTGGGGGGACCATCCATTGGGACCACTTATATATATATATAATAAGCTCTCACATGCAAAGGGGGGACCATTAGCTAGGTGTCACTCACTAGGAGGTTACTTACTTATACACAACCCATCCCACATTGGAAAATCACTCCACTTGCCCCTTCCCCCACTCCTATAAACAGGACCCTTAAGGTACATTGTAAGACACACCAAGCAAGAATATTTTTGTGAATATTTGATCATTTATGATCATTTTTTTTTTATGGAAAGTTATGCTTGATAGCAATACTTTCTCTTTTAGTCTAATATTTCTTGGAATGCAATTTCATTGCATGCTCCATGGGGTTTAGTTCAAAAATTCGGGTTTGAGTATAAAGCCTCAAGTTCATGGCATTTGGGGAAGATGGAAGAGCTCTCCAAAGTGTCAACCGAGGTGGTGGCTTCGTGGAGGATGGTTCGATGCTAGAAGGGTATCGGGTCGTTCTTACGTTAGTACTTACTTAGGTTTGCTTCTCTTTCAATTATCCTTTTTCTCGCTTTATTTGTTTCCGCTTAGTTAATTTGTTCTTTTCTTGCTTAGTTAGTTATGTTTAATTGTTTGTTCTTTGTCGTTGTTTATTAGTTTATTCCGTATCTTGTGTAGTTGATCAATTCGGTCCATGACAGGTTGCCTTCAAGAAATCTCCTGCCAACACGTGGTAAATCGTAACCAAAACCGATCAACCAACAATTTCAATATGTCCCATAAAAAAACCAATCGACCCAGTACTCAAATTCGATGGGTCCCTTGCCTGATATGCCGACCGAACGGATCCAATGGCCAATTAGACTTCTGCAAGTCGATCCGACCAAAATTCACTTCTGGCCCACTACTGGGCCCACAACCCCTCATTCTCTTGGGCCAAAACCCTAAAAAAAATTTTTGTGCTCAACAACTTGCCTCCTCCCTCCTGACTTCCAAACATCATACCTTGATCGTTGTGAGATGGGACATTTGGAAGTTTAAGACTCAACGCAACAGGGTAATCATTACGCCGTTTCGAGTCCAATCACAGAGTTTTACTAAAACCTTTTCCCCCATAACAACTCACTCCATCTTCATCATCTACTGAACTCAAACTTTCATCTCCCCCAACTTTTCCTTTGCCATTTCCCAAACTCAGTCCTTCGACCAATCCCTCGTTTTATCATGCGTTCTACTCTCATGGCCAACCAATACGTCCTTGCCCTTCCTTTTGATGTCTCCGATCCTGAAACCCCTTTTCATCCAAAGTTTTAACACGACCATTCGTCTTTACTGTACAACCATCGAAGATGTGTCCCGAATAAGAGATATCCTCGAATAAGGGACCCCCCTTGCCATCAAGAATGTTGCGTTCAACCCCTCTCGTCTTCTAGACACCATCAAAACTCACCTCAATGACCTCAAAGATAGCTTTCGCACTTGGCATTCCAGACTTCTGCCCCACTTTCAAGAGCAATGGAAACGCCAGGGAATTGACAAGGCCATTCTCATTTCCACCAAAACACTTCATCTTTATGACAAAGTATTGCTAGTTGCGGCCGCCTTCTGAAATCAGGAAATCGGCGTTTTTCTTTTGCCTGCTTTTCCCATGGTTCCAAAATTGATGGATTTGGCCATGATTGCCCATCTTCCTATCTTGGGTGACGACCCAATGGTCGGGTCTCTCAATGGCCAGGAACCCACATCTGACCACGCTGGCTGGTCGCTGTCCAACCTTCAAGACAAAAGGTGAACCAACTTCATAACCGACTAATGGAGCGGATAACCAAACTTCAAGCCGACCTTCCAGTAATCCGAACTCCAACAGTCGGTTCCTCTCAGCCTCCGTCCACGGCCGACCTGAGCACCATTGAGGCAACCTTGTCAAAGACAAATGAGAATCTCAAATAGGCCAATGCGAGGCTGAACAGTCTCCTGCACTCCCAAAAAACCTTGTCCGAGGACATTGACAGAAGACAAAAAGAACTGGAGCTCTCCAAAGAGAGCAATCTACAAAAGAGCAAACCGCCCTGGACGGTTGCATCGAAGAAGAGAGGTGTATGATCACTTATTATAGACAAAGCCAAACCTATATGATGCCTTGCAAGCATCCATTCGTTCGAGGCTAATACATGAAGATCATACAACCTTCCAACATAGGCAGGCGGCTCGGTCCGAACACAAATGGACCGACCTCCGCACCGTCCTAGATGCCTTATTGTCCCATTTGTAACTTACCATTTAATAAATAATGTTTGTTTTGACCAAACACATATGCCTATACTCATGGATCATAACATAATATGCACAATTAACCACCAAAAAACCAAACTTAATCTCAAAACTTTCCACCCATAAATAAACCAAACCTGCCCATAGATGATTCACCAAGCATTCTTCAAATTCTCCGAAACATGGCTACCCCCACATCCAAGTTTCATCTAGAAATTGGAAAAATTCCCTGCAACCTTTCTTCGTAGGGCAACATCCCGTTGGAGGATATGCTAAAGATCTGATACAAATACTTAAACAACTGGATTTCAAATTCAAATTTACCCTCAGGGCAAGAAAAGCGATGCATCATGTGATTCACCTAATGGAACATGTCTCCATTGGGAATGAAACACCAAGAGATATCTTCAGTCACATTTTTTGACCTTGATCATCACATGGATCTGATAGAGCACCATTGACATGGTATCGGGTGACCCGAACCCGAATATGGCGGACCAATTGCAACCCGTACCCGATCAAAAACATTACTTTGTTTAAAGGTTGTGAGCCGTTGATTTTTAGATTAGATGTTGACCCATATTAGATTAGGACTTCTTAGCATATATTCCTTATATTATACTTGTAAAACATTCATTCCATACATTTTAGAGAAAGTAACTACCACTTTGAAGAAGTTTCCTTCTTTTTGGAGAGTTTCCACCCATCCATTGGAGTGATTCCAATCAACTGAGAGGGTTAATTTTTGAGTCTTCGGAATGTAGCTTACGTGAGAGATGGAATAAGAATTCAAAAGCCTCAAACAGTTTGTGTGGATTCATGAAGGTGTTTGCTCGAGAGGAGTATTCGTTGATTGATTCCAAATTATCCGCCGGTTCATTTATTCGATTTCGTAGTTGATTCTTCTCTTGATTTGAGATTATATGTCATGGATTTGATTGTATCCATGTCATAAAAATTTGGTATCAGAGCGGTTATCATACTTGCTTCGAGTTGATCTCAATGTGTTCGATCATATGTCTCAATGCCTTTTTGATCCAATCGTTTTTTATCCAATCCGTTTTTTTTTATCCAATCTATTTTTGATATCATATTTTGTTTTGAAATCTATAAATTCCAATCCGTGATGAAGAATTGTTGAATTTTTTTTTTTATTGAAAATAGTTGATAATTTTTGGAAATGAATGCTAGTTCCAATCCATTGCTTGTTGTCAAATGTGAGTAGTGTTCCTGAATTTGATCTAAAAAACACAATTAGTAGTAATATTTTGCCGGCACTAGAAAGCCTTGTTCGTAGTTTTCTAAGTGTTCTTAGACCTTGATTAATCAATATAGTTGAATTAGAGTCTAATTGCATCAAGGTGATCAAGGAATTGAGTGATTTGGGGGTGAATCGAGTGAAATTTGTGAGTTTTGTTGGTATATCATATTTTGGCCGTAACTTTTGCATACGAACTCCGATTCTAGATTGTGAGGAGGTTTCGGAATCAGAATCGAATTTTCTATACAGTGAGCACTTTTTTACAGTGCTTCAATCTCAAAATTGTCAAAAAATTCCTGGAATACAGAGATCGGTCAGTACAAAGTTTTGGGGTTGAACTTTCCGTTTTCTGTTTTGAGCAGTCGGTTTTTTTTATTAACGGCTCTTTATTGGCTGGAAGTTTCTGAGTGATTCTTGTTTTTGCTGTTAGATAACTCCTTGAATTTGATTTTAATATTTGGAATCATGACATTTGGACGTGAATAGCTCTCTAAAATTGCGTTTGAAGTTGATTGTTATGCACTGCCCTCTATTTTGTGAAAAGGTGTGGCAAAATTGCATTGAAAGAGCCAAGATGGCAATCCAATTTTGAAAAAGGCATGCTCTAAACATCAAGTAAAAGCCTAGAGCATAAATATATATATATATATAAAATAAAACAGAAACAAAAAAAAAATTAAGCAACACACCTTAGTATTCTATTACAGTACATCGATTAATATTCTTGTAGTAGTCATGTTGTATTTTGAGGGTTCTTAGTCCGTGTTGTGGGAGTTGTTTCACTGAGTTTGTCTCTTGAGTGTTTTGAGAGGTTGTTGATGATTCTTATTCACCTGATGCGTTAGGATTTTGATTTCGACTAGTTGTTAATTGAGGAAAAGAATTTGTATCGACCTTTATTTGACATTCTGCGCTTATAGTTTGGGGTCGAATCTTCTAGTTTTGTTCCCCTAGTTGATGCATCTGTATTTCATGCTTCTCTTGAGTTGCATTTGAAGGATTCCTACGTTGTTTTTTGAGGTAATTGCGCTCGTTTCTTCCCTTTCATGATCGTGGTTGTTTCTGATTTTTCCTTCTGAGTGTGGTGAGGGAGAGTGAGGATACTAACATTTTTTGATATACATATATAGTTCGTCTTTTGAGTGCAGGATGGCTTCTTTTGAGCAAATGAAGAAACTATTGGAGTCTAATATGCAACAATTGGAAGCTAATATGAAGAAAACATTGTCCATGCAACAAAAAGCGACTATGGATCATGTAGAGTACCCCGTGAATAAAACGTTGGATAATATCAATCATGGACTGTCATCTTTGGAGAATGCTCGAACAGGGATCCCTTCAGGAGTAGCTGCTGCTGTTCGGGAAAAACAAGCCGCGGCTGAATCTTCATATCACCGCGATTTGAGCCCTTCGATAAGGTCAGTCTCACCCCATAGCAACAGTTCGGATTACTTGTTCACTGATCGAACTCAACATCACGCAGTGGGTTGGATGACGATCTCTCTACCATTAAGATTACCCTGTCCACTTTCGGAGGATTAGGCGGGGCAGATGAGTTCTTTGATTGGGTAACCAAGTGTGATATGGCGTTCGACTGTCACAATTATTCGGAAGGCGAGAAATTCTGCATGGCAATCTGTGAGTTCAGATATTATGCCTTGACTTGGTGGGAGAAGGAGAGACGTTATAGGGAGCGACATCGAAGAAATCCAATTGATACTTGGACGCGACTGAAGGAAATCATAAGGAGACGCTTTGTGCCGGATAGTTATGAGCGGGATATGAATATTAAGTTGCAATCCTTGGGTGCAAGGTTTGGAGTCGGTAGAAGAGTATTTTAAGGAGTTGGAAATTTCGATGATGAGGTTGGACATTGATAAAAGTGAATCCTTCACAGAGGCTCGATTCATTAAGGGTTTGAGGCGTGAGATAGCAGATACGGTTGAGCTGCACCGTTTTCATTCTCTTCGGGAAGCTGTGGATTTGGCAATCAAACGGGAGGAGCAGCTCAAGAGACCAACATCAACCGGGCATTCCTATCAAAGGAAGTTTTCAACCAGCTCGGAAACTTTGTTTGTCTCTTTCACCGGTTCTAAGGGAGTAGTTTCCACAAAGCCTTTTGATAAAAATATGGATAAAGACAAGGTGAAAATAGTAGACAAAAAGGATGATGTTGTTGTAAGGTTCAAGGGAAAGGAGTTGGGGCATAGAAAAGAGAAGATTGTGATGTGTTATAAGTGCCATGGGCAAGGGCACTATGCAGGCCAATGCCCCAATAAACGGACTATTATGATTTTAGAGAATGGCGATGGTGATGGAGATGGTGATAATGTAGTAGTTGCTAAAGATAATGATGATATTGTTGAGGAAGTTTGTGATGAAGATCCTTTAAGTTTAGTGGTGATGCGAGCCTTGACATCTCTACCACGTGAAGATGCAAACCGTAGGGAAGACGAACAATGAGAAAATTTGTTCGATTGTCATTGCAAGGTAGCAGGGCGTACCATATCCATGATAGTTGATTCAGGCAGTTGCACTAATGTTGTTAGTTCGTATATGGTAGAGAAGTTGTATTTAAATACTACCACTCATCCGAAGCCATATAGTTTACATTGGATGAGTGATGAAGGGGTTGTCCGTGTGGATAAGCAAGCAAGAGTGACGTTTTCTATTCGTGGATTCAGCGATGATGTGTTTTGTGACGTGTGTCGCATGACCGCATGTCATCTTCTCTTGGGACGTCCTTGGCAATTTGATCGGCGTGTCTTGTACAATAGGTATAAAAATCAAATATCCTTTTCTAAGGATGCTAAGAAGCTGAGCATTTCTTCCCTACCATCCGAGGCCGTACGTCGTGATGCTAAATACTTGTGTAGATCTATGCGTGATGTGGTGAAACAAAAGGGGGCTGCCACTACAGTTTCTGCGAAATCTTCGGGGGGAGACGACAGCAAAATATTGCTTAGTCTCAAAGAGCTCAACAAGGAAATTCGCCAAAACAGTAACCAAGATGAGGGAAGTTACTTTTATATTCTTTTACTAAAAGATATACTTGTGATAGATTTTGATTCATTTGCTCACTTGTCTCCTCCTTTTGTAGACTTGCTTAAGGAGTTTGAGGATGTCTTTCCGAATGATATACCTCCTGGATTACCATCGTTGCAAGGCATCAAACATCGTATTGATTTTGTACCGGGTGCATCAGTTCCTAATAGGCCAGCTTATAAGTGTAACCCGAAAGAAAGTGAAGAAATTCGGAGACAAGTCCAAGGGCTTCTTGATAAGGGATGGGTTCGAGAGTCTTTATCTCCATGTGCTGTCTCTGTTCTTCTTGTTCCTAAAAAGGATAACTCATAGCGTATGTGTGTTGATTGCAGGGTTGTCAATGCGATTACCATAAAATACCAGCATCTAATCCCTCGATTGGATGATATGCTTGACGAATTACATGGAGCACAAGTGTTCACAAAGATTGATTTAAAAAGTGGCTACCACCAAAATCGTATGCAGCCAAGAGATGAGTGGAAAATAGCTTTTAAAACCAAGTTTAGATTATACGAGTGGCTAGTCATGCCATTCAGGTTGACAAATGCGCCCAGCACTTTCATGCGATTGATAAACCATGTGTTGAGAGAATTTATTGGAAAGTTTGTTGTGGTATACTTTGATGACATACTTGTCTATAGTATGTGTTTGGAGGATCATCTTGGACATGTTAGGCAAGTTTTTGATGCATTAAGAAATTCTAAATTGTATGGTACATTAAAGAAATGCATATTCTACACTAATGAAATTGTTTTCCTTGGTTTTTTTGTAGGTGAAGATGGTCTTAAGGTTGATGAAGCTAAAGCATGGCTAAAAGAGCACTGTCATTTTTCGAGGATGCACATCCGAAAGTTACAGAGCAAAACCCATTCTATGAGGAGGACAAAAGCTTCAAGAGTACCTCCGTACCGGCCACCCCTCAAGAAGTTGCAACTTGTTCGACTGCATCAAGTTATGCCCCGGTGATGCCCACGAACGCTTTAAACATAGAAGACCAACTCGCTGCACTGGCCAAAGTTGTTGAAGGGATGTCTCAACACATGCAACAACAAGACAATGTCATTGCAAAGCTGCTTGCAAAACTAGACAAGCCAGAACCAACCAGCCATAATGCTCTAGAGGCCCAAGACGAAGCGGAAGCATCCACAGATCAACGCCATGGTAAAGAAAAAATGGCGGGACCAATGCTGTTTCAAGCATCATCGGACTCCTTCATCCATTTATCCTAACTTGACGAGTATATCAAAGGAGCTCTCAAAAGGGAGTTTGAAGGAAGTTCAAGGCCAACAAATATTTATGCCAAGCCTTACACTTAAAGGATCGACACCCTTAAGATGCCGTTGGGATATCAATTGTGAAGTTCCAACAATTTGATGGCAAAGGCAACCCAAAGCAACATGTGGCACACTTCATGGAAACATGCAACAACACTGGGACATACGGTGATCTCTTGGTGAAACAATTTGTACGGTCATTAAAAGGCAACGCCTTCGACTGGTACATCGACCTGGAGACTGGTTCCATCAACAGTTGGGAGCAGTTGGAGCACGAGTTCTTGAACCGGTTCTACAGTACAAAAATAACCGTCAGTATGACGGAGCTCACCAATACTCGTCAATGGAAAGATGAACCAGCAATCGACTACATCAACTGCTGGAGGAGTCTGAGCTTGAACTGCAAAGACCGGTTGTCCGAGGCCTCCGGTATAGAGATGTGCGTCCAAGGAATGCACTGGGGGTTGAAATACATCCTGCAAGGGATCCGACCCCGCACTTTTGAAGAACTTGCTACCCGCGCTCATGACATAGTGTTAAATATGGATTCAAGCGGGATGCACGGACCACCAGTTCAAGAATCTTCAAAAGCAAAATTATACGATAGAGATGATGCCACAAAGAAAGGGAACAACGCCCTATCAAGTGTTTTGAAAAAGAAGCCTTGGCCATAAAAGCGATGACCAAAGCACCAGTGAAGATCTAAAATAAAGAAAAATAAGTTGCACAGAAAAGACAGTCAACTCAGACAGACAGACCTCCAAGGCCAACCCTTCAAGAGTTGCAATCCAAAACTTATCCTTTCCTGGATTATGGCATCTCGGGCATCTTGACGATATACTTAGAGAAAACCTCATTGAACTATCGAATTCAAAAAGACCGGAGGAAGCTGGAAAGGTTGATGACCCAAGATACTGCAAATACCGTCGTGTCGTAGGACATCCCATCCATAACTGTTTCGTCTTTAAAGACAAAGTCATGGAGTTGGTTCATGAAGGAAAGATCACCCTTGAAGACGATTCTGCTGCTGTTAATGTCACTTCAATCATGTTCAGGTCTCTCAAAGTTGATGTAAAAAACGAAGAATCATATTGCCTTACTACCGAGAAAGATGGCAAGGCGATCAGAGACGAATCGAGTGAAGAATGTGCCATGATAACTTTCACTGATGAAGATTTGATGTTAGGATCCAAACCCCATAATTGTCCATTACTGATTATGGGTTATATCCATGAGCAAAGGATTAACCGGATATTCTTAGATGGAGGAGCCGCAGTCAACGTCCTTCCTCTATACACATTGCAAAAATTGGGAATACCAGTAGATCAATTGTTCGAGAGTTATATGCCAATACATGGATACAATCAAGAGGGGCAAAGAGCACTTGGCACCATAAAATTGAGACTGCTAATCGATGAAATGGAAACTAACCCTTTGTTCTACGTCATAGATGCAAAGACATCTTTCAACGTTCTTTTGGGAAGACCATGGATACATGAGAATGGTGTACTTCCATCAACATGGCACCAATGCTTCAAATACACTCAAAATGGAGTGACAAAGAAAGTTTTCAGAGACACAAAGTCATATACAGAAGCCGAGTCACACTTTGCGGACGCCAAATATTTCTCTACATAAGCAAAAGAATCCAAGGTACATGAAGATGTCAAAGAACCACAACTAAACTTGGGGGCAAAGTCAAGAGATAAAGAAAAAACACCCGCCTTAGGTTCTGCAGACTCATTATTGAGCCTTTGAAAGATTTGACTCTTCCGAAGACCCCACTCAACCCAATCTCTCCCTCACAGAAAAGGAACGGAAAAGAAGAAAAAATAGAGGCTATGCAGTTGCAAAAGGATAAAAGCTTTGCCCCAAAAGCCTACAAGCTTCTCACAAAAGTTGGATATAATCCAAATTAGGAGTCACTGTTGGGAAAGTTACCACCACAGACAACCCAAGGTTTGAGGGCTAGTCTTGGATACATGCCACAAACTCCCGTACGCATTCCTATCAAAAGGGCTGCAAACCATTATATCACCAAAAGCGAGAGCTTGTCTTCCAGTTCACCTCAAAAGGGTAAGAATACAAGAGTATCGGTCTTCAAGAGGCTAAGATCTTCTGTATTCACAAGGTTAGGACCAAAGGTCAATAATAAAAAAACAAGACGGAATCCACATCAACAAAATATGTGGAGATGGATGGAGAAATCAAAAGCCGCTTTCCATCCCGCATGACTCGTTAAACAAAAATGATGATACATTGCGGTAAAGTTTTAAAGGCTAAATCGCAAACCATTGTCTTCACCAAACCCAAACAAGATAATGAAGAAAGTGTTGCATCATCTTGCTACATCAATGAAGGGAGTGAAGAGACAATGATTGAAGAAGATGCAGAAAATGCCCGTTGTGCTTGAAGAAAGGGTCAAAGCTGCAGTGGATGAGTTAGAAGAATTCAACTTGGGAATTGAAGATCACCCAAGACCCGTCTATGTCAGCAAAGAGCTGGGTAAGGATGATATGAATGCCTACGCACGACTTCTCAACGAGTTCTAAGATGTCTTTGCTTGTTCATATAAAGAAATGTCTGGTTTAGACCCGAAAGTTGCGGTCCACCATCTAGGTGTGAGGAAGGGAGCTCGCTCTGTGAAATCCATTGCCTAGGCTTTGAACGACCATGGCTTGATTGAGGTCTAGAGGTCAAAAGCTGGAAAATGATTCGACGTCCCATGCCTTTGACATTCTTGACATCATTTGGAGAATTTAATACAATCTTCAAATATTTTTTTGCCAAAAGAATCTCAGGTAATGAATGGCCCATCTCATGTTCAAGCTTGCTCGATGAGCGCCGAAAATTCCACCATGCACTTCCACCATGCACTTCCTCCAACTTTAAGTGTAACCTCACCTTTTGACCGTCAGGCCCTTCCAGAATTACTCATGCTCCCGATCTTTCTCCTGAACTCGATCCATCAAAGAAAATGTGGCAAGTCCGAGTACCTATGTATGACGTATGTTGAGCATTCCTTTGTCCATCCTCCATAAATTCTGCCAGAAGATCAACAATTGCTTGTCCCTTCACAATTTTTAGAGGTCTGTATTTTAATGAAAATTGGACTAATTTAATGACCCATTGTATTAATCTTCCCTGCATGGTAGGTTTATGCAGGATCAACTTGATCAGATCTACTTTGGATATGACTTCCGCTTCTCTGGGGAGGATGTAATGCTCCATCTTGGTACATGCAAATACCAATGAATAACACATCTTCTCTGGCATAGTGTAATTCAACTCAGAACCAGCTAGAGTCTTACTCAAGTAATAAATCGCCATCTCCTTTCATCCTCCCAATCTTGTGCCAAAAAACAACGTACCACATCATGAGTGTTTGATAAGTACAACTTAAAGGGCCGGACCCCTTTTGGAGGCATCAAGACGGGTGGTTCGGCCAAAGCCGTTTTGATGGCTTTTAAAGCATTTTGTTGTTCGGCTCCCCAAACAAAGTCGGATGCCTTTGCCTTTAACAATTTTGTAATTGGCTTCATTTTCCCCACGACATTGGCAATGAATCTTCACAAATAATTTACCTTCCCAGTAGACTTTAAACCTCTTTGACCGACTTAGGAGGACAGATCGTCATAATCGCCTTGGTTTTGTTGGCATCGATCTCAATTCCTCTTTCATGGAAAATTGCATTCATTGTTCTTTGATAAGTAGCCCCTGTAGTTTTTAACCCAAAAGGCATTACCGTCCATTTGTAAATTCCAACACCCCAGGACACCTAAAAGCTGTTTTTGGAATATCCTCTTCTGCAAGAAAGATTTGATTATAACCAGCGTACCCATCCATAAGAGTAAGAATCCGATGCCCAACGGCTAAATCGATCAGCATATCAGCCTTGTGCATCACATACTCATCCTTAAGGGTTGCCAAATTGAGGTTGCGAAAGTCAATGCAGATTTGAATCTTTCCATTCTTTTTTGTTACTAGCACAATATTTGCCAACCATTTAGCATATCGACACGGCCGAATAAACCAGAC